TCACAAGACTGAGATTCCAGACTGGACACTTCTATTTTTCCATACCTCCTGAGAACCTGGCGGGACAAGACATAGAATAAGTACTGTCCAACACATTTGGGAACCCAAAGTGGAAAATTATGGGGGTAATATTTTGAGACAGCCTTGATTTCTTGAGATCAGTGCATACTTCTGCATTTTTTTGCATTCTTTGTACAATTTTGTATTTTTAAAAAATGAACAGGTATCATTAAGAATAGTAGTCATTCTTGAAATACTTTGGAGAAGTCAGAACTTGGGAAAGCCAATGCAAGGGAAGGTAAGGCCTCCAAGAACAATAGTCTTCCAAGAGAAGAAGAGACAGCTAGATTTTTGGTTTTAAGCCCTGCTATGCTAAACACTTGAATATTTAGTTCTTGGTTTTCGCCCTGCAGTCGGTTTTAGGAGTCTTGAATGCATTTATGGACCTTGCACTATGCTTCTACTTGACACCAAACACAGAGGAAGTAAAGAATAAATAGGAAATGACTTCTATTCATGCAAATGCTAAGAGTAGTAAGGTAGTATCTGACCAAATGAGAATGGATTGTTAAAAAACTTAAAAACACATCCAATTACTTAAAAAATATCACACAACCAGCACCAAATCCTCCCAGGTGTCCTCTAGCACTTTCATCCAATATGGTGGCACTTACCTCTCCTCAAAATTGCCAACTTGCTTTCCATTTACCTTCATCTGTTTAAATGTGGGATAGAAGGTTAAAATAGGCTGAAGTCTTGTGACACCATCTTGCACCAGTGCTTGTGTAGGTGGAAGAAGAGGTCATAGGATACAATGGCTGATGCAGCTTCCTGAGTTTTCAGAATTTTTGTTTCTACTCAGTGAGTTAGCAATATCTAAGATCTGTGGTTTTCAGAAGGCATACTCTAGCAGCAATCTCATAAATAACAGAGCCTGCAATGGCTCCCCAGTCCTAACCTGATCAACGGAGTTTGCTTAGCTGCATTCTATGTCTCCAGTCTTAGTGGACACTCCACTCCTGAATGTGGCTACCCTAGAGTGAAAATGAAGGTTTAGGAACTCCCTGACACAGCTTTATCTCTTCTCTGCACTGTGTTTTTGCTTTGGCATAACTGTTAGCCTAAAACATTTCACATTAACTTTGCACACAAAAAGTCATCTTCATCTTTCAAAACATATTTTCCTTTTATTTCTAACCTTTGCCCCCCTTGTTGATTCCCAGTAGTATTGTTTAATCATCAGGGATCTTCATTTCAATAGGAATGTCTTAACTTCTTGGTTAACAAAGCCTTGACCATCTATTTGGTCAGGAAACATTGTGTGTGCGTGTGTGTGTGTGTGTGTGTGTGTGTGTGTGTGGTGATTGACATTGAACCTTCATGTAAGTGATTTTTCATATTCCCAGAAAACATTTGAAACATTTTTTTCAATAGAAATACCCACATACCACATGGACCCTGAATTCGTTGTGCACAGCACCAAGTCTAGAATTCAGATCTCTTTATGCTTACTCTGGTACTTACTTCCATTTCCCCTGGCTTTTAGTTCATCAATTTGCACTGTTCCTTGAAAGTCCTGACATCTTTATCTCATTGTACACGTTCCACCTTTTTTTGGACTTAATAAATCTAGAGGTTTAAAATTTCTTTGGAAACCATACTTCCATTTGTTAAATGAGAGGAAGTCACATAGTAAGTGCCTATTTTTTGTAAATGATGCTTTACTGAATTTAGAAAGAAATTGAGCACAGACTTCTATTTCAACATTTGTTTTAACTGGATTTTCTCTTCTCTTTCTCTTCTCACTTGCTCTTATATTTTCTGCAAAGCTCCAAGTCTGTGAAGCAAATTCAGGGTGTTCTGATTTAATCCACACCCACCAAACATTCACCTGGCATGATGAGATTGACACATCTGCACAGCAGACCCTTAATGAAGGACTTGAAAACTGGGGTGGATGGAGCATTCAGCAAATCTCTTGAGTGAAGGATGATTCTCTAGATAGCCATATGGACTACATTTGGGAGCACCGGCTTCACATCTGGAAACTCACACTTTATACTGGGATATCTAGGAAAACAAAGAAGAGCAATGGGCTGGAGTCTTTGCTGCCTCATCCTGGTTGAGAGACAAGGAGAAATGCCAGACCCTAGTTAAGCATATGTGGGTTTCGGTTGTTAAGTGTTAGAGTGAGTTGCCTTTGGTCCTTATACCTCCATCCAGATTCTTCCCTTCTCCTCTGCCACTCCTCAGTTTCTCCTATTTCTCCCCCCCGCCACCGCTTCTCTTGAACCCCTGTTCATCAGGTGCGCTGCTCTCCACTCTCTTTTCCAAATTCCTTCTCTAATACCTCATCCACTCCCATGGCTGCCATTGTCTCCTGAACGTTGTTATCTCTCACATCTGAACCCTTCTCCTTAGACCAAGCTTAACTGATTAGTGGACATTGTAAATGAACTTTCTGCTCAAATAAAACACAGAGCCTCATTTTTAACCAGTTTCCTCTGGTGCTTCCTATCTCAGTAAATGACACCAGGATGCACCCATTCTCCTAAGGTAGACATCTAGGAACACCATGGACCCTATCATTTTTTGTAACCCTCCTCGATTGGCACTCAGTGTTGTCGATCTATTGAAGTTCCCCATCATCAGTTAGAGCCAGCACACTGACTTTGCTCTCACCTGTTTCTTCCATTCTTCACTCCCATTCATTCCCACCTGAAACTATTGGCAGAGCTCCTAACCATTGTGTGATCCTCACACCACTGGGCTGAAAAACATATCCCTTAACCTCTGTGTGTGTTATTTTCTCATGTTAAACAGGAAGGTCTTTGACTACATCTCTGAGACCTTTTTCACTTCCCAGTTCTGTAATTTGCCAGCTTGAGCATACAAGTATCAGGGGCTGCAAATTGAAAAACTAAGCTTTCTGTTCTTTCATTCATTCCTCACCATACAAGATGTTTTCTTTATTCCTCCTCTACTTTGCTAAAGGAGCTTTTGATTGAAATGTGGCAGATTAACTACCCAAACCTTTAGCCAAAATATGCTTTTTCAGACATTGCTAAAGAGACAAATCCATGTCCTTTCCTTCTGCTGTCACATTGGGGAAGGGAGTTTCCTGGAGCTAGGGCTTAAGCTAGTGCTGTTGTTTTCTTCATCATCACTTTTATTGCCTGGAGGGTGCTGTTTCAAAGCTCTGCAGATGCAGATGTACAGATGGAAAGTCTATTCTTTATCATCACTTTTATTGCCTGGAGGGTGCTGTTTCAAAGCTCTGCAGATGCAGATGTACAGATGGAAAGTCTTAAGACATCTATTCCTTCTCAAATTAATTATAGGACAAATACCAGCTTCTTGTCCCGATTCCACCCCAACCACTGTCTGTCCCTTCACCAGGACACCAGGTTTAATGAGGTGGTTTCTAAGGCTGGTGTTTCCCTAAGGCCTGGGATTCATTAGACTTGACTTAGAAGCTTTACTAAAGGGCATCAAGGGGAGTGTTCAGATGTTCCACCTGCTGTGAGCTGTTGAACGCACCCTGGGCCTCTCTAAATTTGAGGACTTGGTTTCTTTGTCCTTGCTTTCACAGTAATTAGGAGAAAGAGAAGACTTTCAATTTCTATTCTATAGAGTTGTATTGTGCTTCATATTTTATATGAAGTGGGAAGTTAGCCTTCCATAACTCCAAACTCTTTTCTCTGTCCTACAATGATTCTAGAGACATTCCTTTTTCCCCTTACATGTAGTCTCTTTACCATACTCCCAAGAGTCTAGAGAAGGCAGAGAGAAATGCATATCCAGCCCAAGACAATGTGCTCATTGAAATTGATGGTAAAAATTAGCAAGACTATTTAAGAGATATTGTCACCTCTAAACTTCATAAATTAGTGTAGATGGAGCTAGAGTTTGAAGTTATCTGTATCCTCCTCAGCCCCTACCCTGCCATTTTATACATATGGAAAATAAGGTTTTCAGCAAATTAGTGGTGTGGTCTGGTTTTCCAATCCTGTGTACTTTCCATTACTATTTGCTTCCTAATTGCATGCGGATTTCCTTATTCTCCAGAGCCAAGTAGCATCAATATTTGGCATTAGAAATGCTGTGGAATCCTGAATAAATAAGAGTGTACACAAGTAACATTTAAGGTCTCTTATTCTAAAACCCAGATGAAATACCTGCAATAAACCCTGGGCTCCAGACTGCTTCAGTGCTTTCTAATCTACCTTTTATAAGCATGGAAGGAAATATTGGACTATCAGCTGGCACTGACCCTTCAAAGATGGGAGGAGTTTTGTTTGTGTACGTAGCATAGAAAGAGTCCTAAATTTTTGTCAGTAGGGTTTGTTTTAGACCTGAGCAGTGTGGAAGAGGCTTCCTTTAGAGTGGTTTCATGGAGGATAGTGATTTCCTCACCTAGAATCACTGTTAACTTAGAGTCAACCATAGAATACACTTAAGGTAGAATATCGAGAAATATACTAGGTTAAAAGTCATAATAACTAGCTTCTAAGCCTGGTTCTGCTCCTGCAACTTAGGACCTCATGTCTATGATCACTTAATTAGGGAAGAAAGTAATCATTGAAGTACTGTTTTGGGTTCTATTCTAGGTAATATTCAGTGTGAAATAATGCAGTATTCCTATTTTCATAGATGTTGTATGATGGTGGAGAAAGCAATAACTGACACACAAATATGTAATAATAATATCAACATTATGAAGCAAAGAAAAATTGAATAAGGCAGTGGGGAATGTCTGACAAGAAGCAAGAGAATGTGTTTTGTGGGGGTGTGGGGTGGGGCTCTGAAATAGGTCTCCTAAGAATTTTTTAATCCTTCCTTGGAAAGGTGGAGCCCAATTCCTCTCCCTTGGAATGTGAGCTGGATTTAGTTACTTCCTCTAACAAATAAAGTAAAATGGAAGTTGTGTGTGGTGTCAGAGGCTGTAAAGTAACTGTGCCTTCTCCCTGCTTTTCTGGAATTGTTTATTCCATTGAAAGGAATCATCTGAGAAGCTGACTCTCTGGACCCAATCAAGCCTTCAGGTGACTGTAGCCCCTGTCAACATCCTGGGTGCAATGGAAGGAGAGACCCTGAACCAGTCCACCCAGATAAGCTGACTCTGGATTCCTGAGCTGAAGAAACTGTGAGTCAATATATATTTCTTATTTATAGCCATAGCTTTTGGACAAAATTTGTTAAATAACAGGTAAACTAATGCATGTGGTTAAGGAAGCTTTTGGAGGGAGGGTAATTTTTGAGCAGAAATTGAAATTAAAAGGGGAAATAAGTCAGATAAGATAAGATAATAAGATATGTGTGAAGACTGCTTGAAGGACAGAGAATAGAACTAGCAGAATACTATGATAAGAACAAGCTGGGATTTTCAAGGGAAATGCCCAAGATTTGGAAATGAAGAAGACTGAGCATTCTTCTAGTTGAGAGCAGTCCATTGGATCCCCTGGGGATTACCTTGTGAAACTGAGATGTTTCCATTTGAATTTCTATTATGGAAGTTATTTTATACCTGTGTAGAGGTAGAATTGAACTCGTAAAAAACTGATGGTAAGCAGGGAGTGGGAGCACACCCTATAATTGCAGTATTTTAAAAGCTGAGGCAGGAAGACTGCAAATTCAAGCCTAGTCTGGAAAAGTTAGTGATATAGCAAGAGCCTGTCTCATAATTAAAAAAGGGGGGGTTAATTGGGACATAGCTCAGTATAAAGGCCCTGGGTTCAATCCTCAGCACTGCAAAAAATTAAAAAATGGAAAGAAAACGGTGGCAATGCAAATCATCTTTGCCAAAGAAGTATAATGAACACTGTTTTACAGTGATATGACTGAATTCTATCCTGTAGAAAAGATAGCTTCAGATGATACATTTTAAGCAGATTTATTGAAAAACAATTTTTATGCTATACATTCACCCATTTAAAAATTTACGAATCAGTGCCTTTCAGAATATTTTTAGATTTGTGAAAATGCAACATAATCTAATTTTAGATTAATTTTGCTTTTTCCCAAAGCCAAGAAACTCTGTATCTATTGTCATGGTTTGTATCTAGATGTCCCTACAAAGCCTCATACACTCATTGGTGGGGATTTTGAAGCTGGATGGCTCTAGGACATGTAACACTAGGATTAAGAGTATGTGGTAGTCCACTGATTGGAATTAGCATATTTGTGGGTGTGGACAGTGGAAGCCCCAACCTTGGTGTGGGTGGCATGAATCAATAGACTTATAGCCATTATCATTATCATCATCATTATAATTATTATTATTAGTTTTTGGTTCTGAGGATCAAACCCATGACCTTGTGCTTGCAAGACAAGTTTACCACTGAGCTAAACCCCTGGTCCAGGTGTTACAATGATTTTACATAACTGCTTTCCTTACTTGGGCCTTCAGCTACCTGTAGTATGTCTCTATGCTTCCGCACTAGATGAATGTGAAAAGGAAATGCGATTATGAAATAGAAAACTGTACTCTTATGGTTAACATTCAGTTGAGTCACCTATAAAGTCAGTTTTCAGAAACTAATGATTTGGCCTAAATTATTTTCAAATTCTCACATGTTGGCAGAATTTTGAGGGAAGATGATATAGAGAAATCTAGAGGGCTAAGCTTTGCATTCTGAGCAAAATGGCTTTGTTTAAAATATGTTAATTACAAGACAGTCATTAAATGACTCCTAAAAAACAAAAGAGAATGGAGAAAGCTGAGGGCTCAAAAGTCAGATTTGGCTTATTTCTTCCTAACTCCACATGTGACTCACTGACTGGAGGTGGGCAAAGGCCTGTGATGCTGGAAGGGCAAGGTTGGGTAGTGGACAGACAGGGTGAGAGAGAAGCTGAGTTTTGTTAAATGAAGGTTGGAGAAGGCTTGAGCTTGAATTTAAAGAGGAAAGCAAAATCTTGGACATAAGCATTCACAAAACAGATTTAGAACGTGAGTGTATCATGATGTTTGGGATTAAGAGAGTCAGCAACCAAAAAGAGAGATGAACCATGGGAAAAAATATTCCTTTAGAAAGTTTGTCTCGGAGAAATTAGCAAGAATTTCTCCTTATCTTGCATCTCAGGATGTTCAAAGATAAGAAAGTTAAGTAGATCAATGCATCTTTTCCTTAATTGTCGCTAGTTCTATTCTGCCTGTGTTGATTTTAATCTTAAACTATTCATGGAAATTTAAAAATTAACTCCACGACTCAAAATCCTCCCTGGAAAACTGCAATTGTATTGCTTAAATCCCTGTTTGTGCTGTTTTCTATCTTTTTCTCAACAGTTCCTCAACCTCCCTTCTCCAGAGTTCAGCTCAAGTCCTGAAAAGTCATGTAAAGTCCAAACAACCTCCTTGGCAGTTTAGTGTGTTGAGACAGGTGGTCCCTTGGGCAAGGAGAATACTACCAGGAAATGATCAGGCCACACAACCTTTGTTGATTAACCTAAATTACTCTTCCCTCAAGTCATCGAAAGGGTTTCAATTATCAGCCATGACTCTAGCACAAGGCACTATACTCTGTAGTGTGCTCTTCAAGGATTTTCTTTTCCTCTTCTTTCTTCCTTTTCAGTTAAGAGTAGATGTCCACAGGAGAAGCACTGGATAAACATAAGGGTAGAATTAAGATAAATGCATTCCTTTTCCTTAGGAAATTTTCCATGATGAATGAACAGCTTTCTACTCTTAGGTCAGCAAGGTCAAATGGTAGCTCTTTGAGGAAGACCAACTTTATTAGGGCTGAGAGCCTTAAAAGGGTCTAGGGCTTGAGAGAGAAAAACACTTCTCTGAAAAAAAAAAAAAGAAAAAAAGAAAAGAAAAGAAAAAAGAAGCAATGGTCATTACCAATCTCTCCCAAGAGGTTTGTTGTTCCTTGGTGGTTTCAGAGCTGCTGGTAGACTCTGTATGATTTCTTTGGGACATCCCCAAGGGTTCTCTGGAGTTGACCTGACCATTTACAGCTGCAGCTGTCAGGTCTAAGAATGCTTTCAATAGCGGTTACCGGGTTTATCCCAGATGGACACGAAGGTTGCATTTCTTCATTTGCAGTACAGTATTGAGTGAGAGAGCATCTAATCGATGCTTTTGGAAGGACTTCGTGGAGAATGATATGACAGGAGTCACATCACCCTGAGTCCCAGCTCTGCCTTTGTTGCTGAATAGTACTCAGAGGCTATAAATTGTGGGTACAGGCTTCCCCACTAACTCCAAAACTGACGTCATTGGCAGAAAATGGGCCACATTTCCTAAAGCTCTTTTAAATACTAAAATTATGTCTATGACAGACACTGTTAAATGTCCTTAAATATTTAATTGCTTTTCCTAATTCCTATTCCTGTACTGTTTTCCTGTAGTAACTAATGAGAGGGCTTTGTCTAGAAAAGTTAAAAAGCCACTGATGGAAGAATAAGAAAACATTACCTGGGGAATAAAATTCTTGAGGCATATTTGGATTTAAATCAAGTAAGAATGGAAAGATCCAGAATATTGGGTTCTTATGTCTAGGAATGTCAGGGCAAATGCATGCACTAGAATGAAGTCTTTTCAGTCATGTGCCTGGAGGTGAGCAAACTAGAGAAGTGATGATGCATTGCACGCTAAACCAGAGGTTCTTGTCATCATGGAAAGAGAGGTAGGTATAAAATGAAACACTGATGGATAAGAAGAAAGTTAGAAGGAAATACAGGTAATGAGTTAACTTTGTAACTTCACATAGGTCTTCAAGGTCTTTGGCTATTGCTTTAAGAGGTGAGTCTCCAGTGGAACTACACCATCACCAAGTATTGAGTAGAATCTTGAACCCTAGGTTGAGATCACTTGGCTAGTACTGTGTGTAAGGTTAATGAGAATGGGTTACTCTGCCATGAAAATGATTAAAATGAAAATCACAAAAATAAAAAGAAAAGAGAGGAAGAGTTCTATCAAAACAATATCCTCTTTCAACATGTCAGTAGCTTAATCTCTGCTTCATCTTTAAAATAGACACTTTCATACCCCTTGGTATCTTTTTCATTAATTCTTAAATACTGTTAATCATTCTTGAGTACAGCTGCAGTCTTAATATTAGATTTGTTTAAAGTATTCCTTTCCACACATACTGAACACTTTCTTACAGTTCAACTTCTTAGAAACTTGTATACTTCCCTGAAATTTTTGGCCATATTTCCACTAAAAATAATCTCTCAAAAATTTTCAAATATTTGGCAGTGCTAACCAAGAAGAAGTCCAGTGATGGGCAAAGCTGGAGAGGCCTGACTCCACCTTTTCAGAATTCTTGGTGTTTGACCAAACAGCCCAGGGAGGCAGAAAAAGAGAAGCTAACATTCTGTCCTCCCCACCCATCTTATTGGTTCTATTTTATTTCTTTGTGCCTTTCTACTCATCTCCTTCATAAGGAGTAAGACACTAAAACAAATCAACAAATAAAATCTAAGTTGACGTTGTCGAAATGTCTTAAGTATCTAGTATCTTTGGTCTCTCACATGTATGTCTGAGGCACTAAAGGACTGTGTAGAAATCTTTCTTCTACTTCTTTAAGCTTACAGCTCAGGGGTGAGAATTCCAGCTGTCACTTTCCTACTTAAAGTGTGAGGCAGCCCATGAGGCCAGTTGATCTGACAGGGGTGAGGCTGTCACTTTCCTACTTAAAGTGTGAGGCAGCCCATGAGGCCAGTTGATCTGGAGATAAGTGATAGGGACTGGAGACTACTGGGCTAGTGATGACTCATTTAAGAATGTGTAATGTTACATGTTACA